CGCCTTGCATTTAGCTGTGGTCCCCCAGGTGCCTGTGAATCACACTGTCCTCCCTGGAGGTCTACAGAAGACGCTTGCTGAGGTTGCCCTCGAGGGGCCACAAGCACGAACTACATCAACCTAGTTCTTTGCCTCTGCAGTACCAGAAGTTCTTCTGCCACCACAGAAGGATTTAACAAGAATTTCGTTGCCCTCAGAACCTTGTGCAACATCCATTTTCCCAATTCTCTGCCAGCTTTGTCTGTGCAGCAGTCTTAGGTTACGTAGGGCAGATGGGGAGAGGGATCACATTTCAAGTCTCCGTCTGCATCCTTGAGCCCTCCCTGAGCAGTTTCACCCAGGAGAGCCGGGAGGAGGGACCAGGGATCAGCACCCCCAGGAGATGACAGTGTCAAGTATGCCTCAAATTTTCATCTTCAACGGCTGGTATCATCTAACTCCCTTGGGAGAGACTACGCTTTGTTGCTTAGACTAGCAATATAATCTCTAGCTATCCCAATGCCAAAATATCAGTTACAGGTTCATTTGTATGATGGGATCCACTGGAGTTCAGACCACTGGAACAATGGCGTGAGTCAGGGTTTGGGGCAAAACACCGGATGGGATTGAGCCCCACGTGAAATGAACTAAGGAAAAGTCAAATTCTCTATATCGTCACATTTTAAGTAACTTAATTCCAAACCGCTCTTTGTCTCATTAAGCTGTAAAAGGGGAGCAGATACTCCTGAAGGGGTTTTCTTCTTGGAAGTCCCAATTAGAAAGAAATTAACATTCCCATAGCACCCCAACTCTCCTCACATAATGATACTGAAAAAACAGTAAGTGATTTGCAATTAGAAATAAATGTTTTCCCAGACACAGAAGGCCACTTAAGTATAATTCCATTCACATGAAATATCTAGAACAGATAAATTGATAGGAAAATTCCAAAAGCAGATGGGTGGTTTCTAGGAGCTGAGAAGAGGAAGAAATGGGAATAACTGCTAAAAGGGTATGGTCTTTTGTTCAGGTAATGGGAATGTTCTGGAATGAGACAGTGGTGATGGTTGTACAACCCTGTGAATGTACTCAATGCCACCAAACTGTCTGCTTTAAATGATTGATTTGACGTTACGTGGATTTCACCTGAATAATTAAAAAATGTTTTATAATTAAAAGACTCGTCATTTCTCTTTGATCAACAATCTAACACCACTGGGAAACAAGGGGAGGATTTTGTTCCCATTCCACAGAGCAAAGAGGGATTAAGGAGGTTTCTCAATTCTAGTATTTGTCACCTTTTGACCTTTCTGTGTGTGAAAAGCACAGTATTTCCCAGATTACTTCTGTAGCACAGAAGTAATTCAAAACAGTGACCCCTGATTTGTTTGGCCACACAGTCTAACTTCACAGTCAGCATTAGTAGTGGCAGGAACAGCAACTGTTGATCTACAGTGACCAAGTGCTGGCTGGGTCACCCGAAGCCAACTGAATAGGCCTGTGTCTACCTGACAAAGCCTGACAGGCCTGCGTGGTCTAGCTGGCTGCAGGGAGCAGTGAACTGGGGTGGGAGGATACGAAAAGGGGCAATTTCCACACACTTTCAGATCAAAGCAAGTCAATGTTAACAGAGAGCAGAATGATCTTTGGAAAAGAGGCAGCATTTCTCTTTTTTGCCCTTTTTATACTTAGAAGAATACAGGCTTCAACACAGAGATCCAAAGCACGCTGCCGTTCAGGGAAGAAACCCTGTAGCTTAGGGGGCATCAAAACACATTTAGAACAGAGGTGACAAGAAGGGACCTTGAAAGGAAACCACGGCCCACTCAGGAGAGGCAGACCAGGCTTGTCTGCCACCTGCCCTGTCCACACCCATCGTGGCTTTGGAGCCCTGGTCAGACAGGCCTCCCTAGCCCTCACCCACCAGCGCCTCAGCCGTTCACCTTGCCTCAGATCAACTTCTTGGTGCATCTCTACTCTTTCTGCTCTTGACCTTGGGATATTTTCTTCCTATTGCAGCTTTATCTCACGTCCCAGACTGAACACTCAGATTTGCGTGCTGGCTTTCCTTGACCAGGATTTAGACATTGCGCCAGCACAACCACCTTGGGTCACTTCGTCCACAGTCAGCCCAGCCAGGGATGTCACTTGAGGGCTATGTGTCCTCACAGGCATGGGCACTGTTGCATTCTGTTCTGATGTGTCCTTCTTCTTCTCAGGTGTACCTCTCAACACTATGTCTAAAATATGGCTCTGGTGTTGGTTCAGACTCACAAATGGCCAGGCAATCTTCATATTTAGAAGGGGTCTTTAAATGTAATGAAAAGCAAAATTTATTAAATGCTTTCAAAATCTCCTCAATAAGCCAGCTACCTCAGTGAGCTGTGCATGCACACGCGCGTGACACATACACACACACACACAATTTTTTTCCCCATGTTATGTGAGGGGGGAAAATGTATTCTTGTCACAAAATGTTCTGTAAGCCACATAAATTAATTGCAGTATTATTTCCTGGAAAAAGTCCTAAAAGAGAAAAGAAGCATCTGTTTCCTATGTTTCTCAGGCTTTGAGTTGAAACAGGCAAAGTGGGAGTGGGAGGCAGACAGGGCTCCTTGGGTGGGAGCGCTGGGCCACACGGAAGGGACTACAATCCTGACTGGGTGCAACTCCAGCCCCAGTCCAGGGCAGCTCCCCGTCAGCTCCATCCTGATATCACAGTCACATGGCACGTGGCACAGGGTCATTTTGATCTGGCTTTTTTGGATTGCTGACTCTGACTTTCAGCCAGTCATTTGCACTTTCTGAGCCGGTTTCTCCACTTAGAAGACGGGAATGGTAATCTCTATTAAGTGTTTAGGATGACTATGGCGGGTTTAATTATGGCTCCCTGAAAAGATCCCTGTTCCATAGAAAGGGACCATAAGCTTGGACATAAGGTCATTGCAGTTGTAATTAGTTAAGATGAGGTGTCACTGGAAGGGTGTGAGCCCTTAATCCCACATGTGGGTGCCCATACAGGAAGATGGAAGATGACCACTGAAGACACAGACCCAGCAGAGGAGCCCCGTGACAACAGAGGCAGATGCTGGAGTGACCCAGGTGCCAGCTGAGGAGCATCAGGGACTGCCAGGCGCCACCAGAAGCCAGGAAGAAGGGAAGGATCCCCACCTCTGTCTCAGAGGGAGCATGACCCTAACTTGATTTTGGACTTGCCTACAGAACCATGAAATAATACAATTCTGTTGTAACCACGTGGTTCCTGGTACATTGTAATGGCAGCGTAGCAAAGCAGTGTGGTGATGCAGGTCTAATTTACTTAGTGTGTGCGCATGTATGTGTGTATGCGTGTGCGCGTGTGCGTGTGTGTTTTCACTCCAGAGGAAACACACTTAGAGTAAACCAGGTAGGGAAGAAGGAAACTTCTCTTGTGTATCTGCCATGGTTTGAATGTGAACCCCTCATGTTGGAAACTTAATTCTGAATGCAACAGTGGGGCTTAATGAGAGCTGACTGGGTCACATCCCTATCACGGCATTGGGTTAATCAGTGCAAAAATGTATCTACTAGAAATGCAAGTTTGGCCTGCTCTTGCTTTTGCCTCTGTTGCTCCTTCACCTTCCTCCATGAGATGATCAGCATGAAGACCACACTTTTGGGCTTCTTAGCTTCCAGAACCATGAGCCAAAGAAATTCCTGTTCTTTATAAACCACCCAGTCTCAGGTATTTTGTTATAGCAGTAGAAAATGGACCGAGACAGTATCTAACCAATGGAAATGTCATAATTTCCTCTGGACCTGACATTGCCTCTCCAAATTCCCACTTACTCTGTCCTGGCATGCACCAGCTACACTCCCTTCTTAGGGCCTTTGCATTAGCTGCTTCCTCTGGGAGATGCCATCTTTCCTCAGTGAGCCTCTAGCTATTCAACTTAACACTACAATGAGAACCCGTCCACCTTCAAATACTCCCAATTCCCCTTATTCTGCTCTATTTTTTCTTTTTTCCATATTCTTGCTAGTGTCTAATATCCTAATAACACATTTGTTATGTGCATTATTTATACTGTCTCCCTTCATGCTGGGACATAGTCCAAGAAGGGCAAGATCCGTGCCTGCTTTGTTCACTGATGGGACCAAGCATCTAAAACAGGACCTACTTCACTGGAGGTACTCAACAAACATTTTCTTTTTTAAATTTATCGTTCATATTTAAACAATCACATAATTATTACAGAAGCCATCTATGTACACTGCAGAACATTAGAAATAATTAAAAATTTCAATTCCCACCATCTAGCAAAATATCTAAAAATAAAATAAACGAGAGTGGGTTTTTTTTTTTAACCTTCTTTTAAGTGACTCCCTAAGGGCTCCTATCACCTGAGAAGAAATGTCACAGTAGAAATAATACCCCTTTTCAAGGCTTGGTGTACAGATTAAGTGAACTAATGCACCCAAATACTTAACACAATGCTTGCCATGAGATCTTTTTAACTTCCATCCTTCCCCCCAACTTTCAAAGAGTGTGTGGCAGATACCTGCAGGAAACAATTCCTGCAGACATAGGAATGTAATTATCCTGTTTTCAGAAGGGAGGCCTCCCCCTCCCAGCACTTGGAGGACCCAGCCCTGTGGTCCAAAATCACCATGAGGCGTGGCCACTAACTATTCCAAGAGATTTTGTAACAGCCACAAAACAATAATCAGTGACAATGACATTTTTTTATATTATATGCCCATCATCCCCATTTGCAAAGATTTTCCTATGAATTTTTCTTTTATAAACAAAAAAACTGGGGTTCAGAGAATATAAGCAACTTTTCTGAGATTACTCAGTAAGTTGAAGGGCTGGGACTTCATTCTAGAATTAGAAGATCACAGTGACAAGGGTGCCTTAGCTTGATGCTTAGTGAACTACATACTATCACTTATAGACTCCCATTCAATAAGTGAAATGCTCTTCTGTCCTTCCTAGATCATGAGCTACTTCCCACCCATCCTCTACACAGGTGACTTACCTGTGGTAACAGACACAAGTCCTTTTGTTGTTGGATAATTCTTCACCAATATTTTCTTCTTGTAAAAAGGAAAATTCGACCTCAGCGGTAAGAGTGTCAGAAAATGGGGAACATCATTGAGGAAGCCTGGGAATCACTGCTCTCGTGAACTGTTGAGAAAAAATAAAACATCAAGAACGTTTTAGGTCTTTTAAGATGAATCTCTTTGCCTTCCATTTCTTGGTGAAGTCAGTACAGAAGCCATGCCCTTTTGTTAGTTTTTGCTGAGGCTTTCAATCACGTGAAGTAATATTAAGTTTCATGGCTTATCCTAAATTTATTGTAGGGTTTTAAAAAATATTTAGTATAAACTATTTCCACTTTTGAGGAGATAGAAAGAATCACACCCGTGGACACTGAAAACATCTATGTTTTTATGCACAGAATTCTCAGACTCACTCTTTATGGTAGGTTAGCCCAAATCCAAGGAGCCAGAACACACCCATTCTACCTAGCTGAGAGAAGGCAGAGAGAAGGCGGGAATCCTTAGGTTATCTCTTTCCTCAGAGGTAGCAAAGGCATCTTTTATTCAGACACAAATCAGATTTAGCTAGGTTCAGAAGCTCCCTGTAGGCAAGATACACCATCCCTCCTACACCTACCTCCCCTGGATGACATGGTGACAGCAGATGTTAACTGGAACGGAGGAGGGAAATGTCCAGGAAACAATCCCTGATTCAAATATGTCCTTTGTAAAAACAAGTGGAACAAGACAACACTCTGAGGCAATAATATGGAAGGAAGCCCCTCCAAGTCTCAGGGTGTGGGGGGCGTCCTCCACATGTCCCTAGAGGGACTAGCTTGTGCCAGTTAGGCAAAAATTTCGTCCAAAACCTGTTTAAAGGCATTGGAAGGCTACTCGGGACGTACCAGGCAAGATCTCGGAGCGGCGGGTGACACTGAAGCAAGCCTGGCATTTCATCCCATACTACTTTTCCTTTTGAGACACTACTGATTTTTCAGAAGTAACAGCCAAGCTGCCGAGAAGCCCAGGAAAAAGTAGCTATTTAGAAACACAAAATGTGAACGGAGTTTTTGTCCATCTTGCAGGATGGAAAGGAAGGTCCCAGAGAGAAGGAACCAGAAGAGAAGCCCGTTTAACATTCTGCCTCTTGTCCATCTGCAGATTGGCAGGCAACGTGAACCAGGCAGAAAGCAGCAGAGAGGCCTGAGCGCTGAACAGACAGAGCCCTGGACAGTCCCCATGGTGGGCGGTGACAATTAGAGTTCAGGGCCCACCAAAGGCGTCCAGGTAAATAAGCCATGCTTCCAGTAGTGCTGAAGTCTGCACCTGAGGGTGAAGGCCCACAGAATACCACACCCAGCCTCACATCAGCGCAGTCCCTGGGTCCCTGTGTCCATTAGGGAGGTCTGTCCTACTCCAAATGCCCATCAGAAGCAAAAGTAAGGGCTGGGGCTGTAGCTCAGTGGTGCAGTGCTTGCCTAGCATGTATGAAGCAATGGGTTCAATCTTCAGCACCACATAGAAATAAACAAATAAAATAAAGGCATTGTGTCCATCTATACCTACAAAAAATTTAAAAAAGAAGCAAAAGTAAGCCCTCAGAAGAAAAACCGACACCTCCACAGTATCTACAACTCCTGCAAGTAGTACTACACCCTAGCAGCAATTCCAGGGCATACCAGGATGCGGTTCAAGAAAGAGGCAATGAGCCAGCTGTGGTGGGGCACGCCTGTAATCCCAGTGGTTGGGGAGGCTGAGGCAGAAGGATCACGAGTTCAAAACCAGCCTCAGAAAAAGCAAGGCCCTAGGCAACTCAGTGAGACCCTGTCTCTAAATAAAATACAAAAAAGGGCTGGAGATGTGGCTCAGGTACAGCGCCGCTGGATTCAATCCCCAGTACCAAAAGAAAAAAGAAAAGGCAATGAAAGCAAACCCAGAGGTGGCCCAAATGGAGACAGGGCACAGTCTTTAAAGTACCTACAATGAATATGTCCAAGATTATGAAGATTACGTAAGATTTTAACACATGTCTCTCAGTAACTCACAGAACAAGCAAAAGAAAAAAATCAAATAAAAATTCAAATGATTTGAATACCACAAAAGCAACCTTAGTCACCTATGTGGTAGAATGCACCCGACAACTGTGACTACATGTTCTTTGAAGGCATACGCGAAACATTCATAGGAAATGACCACACAGGCCATCAAGTAGATCTCAAGAAATTTCACCAAATGGAAATCATAGCGTATTTTAAAATGTGCCATTCTGAATTAAGGTTTCACAGAAAATCATAAGAATAAATTTCTGCTTTTCCAACTTGAAGTGAAATTTACAATGAAATGCAACACTCTTAGCACCCACAATCTGATACATTTTGTGAAGGGATCCAGCTGTGTAGCCATCAACAAAAATAAAAATATAGAATATTTCCATCACTCCAGAAAGTTCTCCCGTGCCCCCTTCAGTCAATCCCCACACCCCAACAGAAATGTTCTCCTTTCAATACCATCTATTAGTTTTGCCTATTCTTGTGCTTCACTAAAGGGGCCCAATTCGAATTTGTTCTTTCACGTTTGTCCCTACGCACCTGGCATAATATCTCTGAGATTCATCTGCATTGTTGTCCACAATTTGCTCTGTTTCAATCTTGAGAAATACTCTGTTTTATGAAAATAGCACATATTTTTATGCCTTCTCTTATGGATGGACATTCAATTGTTTTCATTTGGGAGCTACTTTGAAAAAAGCTGCTATAACTATTCTTGTACAGTCTTTGTGCACATGTACTTTCATTTCTCTTGGGTAAATTCCTTCTACTTCCTAGGAGTAGAACTGCTAGGTTATAGGTTGATAAATATTTATTTCTATAAGAAACTGATCATAAGACTTGAGTAGACACTAAATATGTTAATGCCAATTAGCACACAAAAAGATACAGCATCACTAATCATTAAGGAAATGCAATTAAAACTATGATGAGATACTAAAATAGTTAATGGGTCCCAACATCCCAAACATTTCAGCCAACTCTTCTGTCCAAGAATAGGGGAGGGGGGCTGAATGATGGACGAGACAGACCTGAGCAAGAGAAGGCTAACCAAGTACCGGTTTAGCATTGAGTTTGACCAATAGTCTTGGTACTTTATCAATACCTGATTAGCACAGATACTAATCAATAACCAGTCTTTTTCAAGACCAGATTAGCATAGATATTGATCAATGTCCTTACCCAGTAGCTATATAAACCCCCAGACTACTACATGTTAAGTGGCAATCTGCTATAAGTTCCCCTCTCACCTTACGGAAGTTCTATCTCTTCTACTCCTTTCATTCTTCACTCGACAGTGGCTTGCCAGTTGTGACTCTCTGAGTCATGCCAGCAGACATCCCCTGCTGTGATTAGCAGCTAACATGAAAACAGACTTGCTCAGCTGCAATACAGACCCCACCCACCAGCAGAAGTGGAGAAAATCGAGTTTCATCTCAAAATTCAGTTTTATTTATTTACTTTTAATTTTTTAAATTTGTTCTTTTTAGTTACATAGGACAGTAGAATGTGTTTTGAAATATCATATATACATGGAGTATAACTTCCCATTTTTGAGATTGTACATGATATGGAGTTACACTGGTCACGGATTCATATATGAACATAGGAAAGTTAAGCCCAATTCATTCTACTGTCTTTCCCATTCCCATCCCCCCTTCTTTACCCCCACTCTGCCCTGTACAATCTGATGAACTCCCCCTACCTCCCCTCAACACCCCCTACCTATTGTGATTCAGGAAAATGCCATTATTTCATTCTTATTTATGTCTGAGTAATATTTCATTGTGTATATGAATCACAGTTTCTTTATCATTCATCTGTTGAAGGGCACCTCAGTTGGTTCCATAGCTTAGATATTGTGAATTGAGCTGCTATAAATATTGAGGTGGCCGTGTCACTGTAGTATGTTGACTTTAAGTCCATTGGGTATAAACTGAGGAGTGGGATAACTGGGTCAAATGGTGGTTCCATTCTAAGTTTTCTAAGGAATCTCCATACTGCTTTGCAGAGCGGTTACACCAATTTGCAGTCCCACCAGCAATGTATGAGTGCACCTTTCCCCCCACATCCTCACCAACATTTATCGTTACTTATGTTCTTGATAATTGCCATTCTGACAGGAGTGAGATGAAATCTCAGTGCAGTTTTAATTTGCATTTCTCTAATTGCTAGAGATGTTGAACAGTTGTTTCATATTTGTTGACTGATTGTATTTCTTCTTCTGTGGAGTGTCTATTCAGTTCCACTGCCCATTTGTTGATAGTTTTTTGTTTGTTTGTTTGTTTTTTGTTTTTGGTGTTAAGTTTTTTGAGTTCTTTGTATATCCTGGAGATTATGCTCTATCTGAGGTACAGGAGGCAAAGAATTTTCTACCATTCTCTTCATGTTCTTGATTGTTTCCTTTGCTATGAAGAAGCATTTTAGTTTGATACTATCCCATTTGTTGATTCTTGATTTTACTTCTTTGTGCTTCAGGAGTCTTGTTGAGGAATTCAGTTCTTAAGATGACATGATGAAGATTTGGGTTTACCTTTTTTTCTGGTATGCGCAGGGTCTCTGGTCTAATGCCTAAGTCCTTGATCTCCTTTGAGTTGAGTTTTGTGCAAAGTGAGAGATAGGGGTTTAATTTCATTTTGCTGCACATGGATTTCCAGTTTTCCCAGCACCATTTGTTGAAGAGGCTATCTTTTCTCCGATGTATGTTTATGGCACCTTTGTCTAGTATGAGATAACTGTATTTATGTGGGTTTGTCTCTGGGTCTTCTATTGTGTACCGTTGGTCTTCCTGTCTGTTTTGGTGCCAATACCATGCGAATTCTGTTACTATAGCTCTGTGGTATAATTAAGGTGTGGTATTGTGATGCCTCCTGCTTTGCTTTTCTCACTAAGAATTGCTTTGGCTATTCTGGGCTTCTTATTTTTCCAAATGAATTTCATGACTACTTTTTCTATTTCTATGAAGAACATCATCAGAACCGTAATAGAAATTGCATTAATTCTATAGAGCACTTTTGGTAGTATAGCCATTTTGACAATATTAATTCTGCCTGTCCAAGAACCTGGGATATCTTTACATCTTCTAAGTTCTTCAATT